ACAATGCATCAGATAACCAGATCTAGCTAAGGTATGTATATTTTATTTGTTATCTACCAAGTGAACATACCCAAAGCCTGGATTGCCTGCACTCTGGAGGGATTGCAGCAACTAGCTGTGGAGTGCTTACGAGCCAGTTCGCAAGACGAAGGCAGGTGCGGGACATTTCTTCTCCTAGAGCAGCCGAGGATGATGGTGACAAGACTCCCACATTTGGAGGAGGGACACCAAAAGAAACTGGAAGTATACTGTGAAACTAAGGCAAAAATTAAAAAATGAACCGATGAGATATTACCTGTCAGGGGATTAAAGCCATTTACAATACCATTCAACCCTTCAAAGGGTGGAGGGACTTCCTAAAATGACAGATGTGTTGTATGGGGAAACCATACAAGTGAAAATCACATTTACCATGTTGGCTACAGCCTGTAGTTGATATGATTGACAGAACATTTCATAGCCACCCTGTAGGGTAGCAAAAACGGTAACGAAGCTTCTTGCACGTTGATCAGGAGAGGCAATTTCCCACATCTAAAAGGCAAAAAATATGCCATTTATTGAGATGTAACAAGTGGCAAAAGAAAACTCACCATTTTTGTTCCCTGGACAGCTACTCTGAGATTATTTAGAACAGCACTGTTGTTGATGAGAACAGGACTGCTGCTTGCTTTGTGCAAATGTACGCCGGCTACTAATGGATTTCCTGTTTTACGTGCTAGCTTTGCCAAAGGTAGGTGGAGATAGGCTGGACTAGAGCCTAAATAAACTCATAATGCACAATAGTGTCCATACCAGATAGCGAGAGATACCATTCAACAACAACAAACAACTGCGTTACCAACAATAGTGCCACTGAATGCAACTAGGCAGCTAAAATTAGCATTGCGTTGTGATCTCTACGAGATGTGTACTTAAGATAGAGAAAACATATTATATACATTTTGAAGTGTAAAGGATTGACTGCGTTTCACAAAAGTCATAGCTAAAGGTGCAAACTGCCACCTTCCATCAAAACTGCTACCATGTAAAAAGTGGTACAGCGGACTTCCACCCCTTTACAATATTGATAGTGTCAGTTCGACGTTAATCTCCATGTCAAGTTGGTATTTCAAAGACTATCAATAGTATTCAAGGGTTGTTACATTCTTTGAGGGTCAACTTCTTGACCAAAAGTTTCTCTCAGTTTTGGTGAAAGACGTTCAGTTCTTTTCTTGTTACTACTACAGCGCATTACTACGTACTTACGTCAACGAAACAGGTTCGATGCTGATTAATTGTCAAGCAGGGCGTTTCAAAAATTTGTACATTACGGTTACCGAAAACCTGACTTCAAATTCTAGCAGACTTTTTCTTGAAATCGGATTTAAGCATACATGTTGTGATGCAGAAATGCAGCAAAAGGACTATGGAACAAAATGAATATGACACTCGAGATGCAGATGCTCAGATCCTCTCCATCTTCCTTTCTTAGAAAGTTGATGAGCAAATCTCAGATTGCTTTGATAATTACAGCTGTGTCTATCTATATTGTATATCACTGCGATCTTCAAACATCTAGATAATTGGCTCTTTACCGCAAAAACAAGGGGTACGCACAAAACTTGTGCACAAGGGATATTTCATATGCATATATTTTTTTGAGATTGTTAGGCTGCCAAATGTTCAAAAAAGGGAAAATTCAGAGTGAAAGGACAAGAACTTGTTTTTCAAGAGATCTTAGAAGAAGAAGTTTATAGGAATAAAGGAAAAGTTGAGGAACGTACCTCCTAAACGCTCTGCCCACAATGTTAGCTGTCTGCCAAGCCGAAGGCGCTCGCCGGCATCCCCATAATCACCATCATCGACAAGGAACGAAGCAGCAAGATCAGAAAGAACTGCCTAAAGTGAAAAAGAAGATAGGACAAAATTGTGACGATGGAGATTAGATGAGGAAAAGGACGCTCAAAGAGAGTTATGTTCTAGAGAGTAAATGATTATATTAAAAAGTGGTGGATCAATGAGTCAATTTACAGGTGAAAAAAACTATTTTCAAAATGTTATAAGGACTATTAAATAAAATTCAAAATTCGAAAACTCACAGCGTTCAGCTCAGCATCTAATTGCCCTTTCCTACTCATCTTGCGCAGAACAGACCCAGCAATGTGGTTCAATGCTGCCAATCTCCCGTGAAGCCGTTGCCCTCCATCGGTCACCAGCACCAGACGAGCCATATTTGCAATGCTTTCTCTCATACTAATGACTTCGGGTCTGAACAGCGTACTAGACAAT